CTTACATTTTATACTCGTAGATGCAGATGACTATTGATTGATTAGTAGATGTGTTCCCTTACAAATTAAAAATGAAAAAATGCATTAAGTTTGGTTTGTCATTGTCTCTCTAACTGCCTTCCTCACCCTCATCTATTCCCATCATGCCTAAAAAAATTTTTCTTTTACCTTTCCAATTTATCACATAATTTAATATTTTATTATAACTTAGGTGGCAGTTTATATTTTTTGGTCAACATTATATTCCAACGTCTAAACTGTTAATTATATCCCTCCTTTGATCCTTGATTTTCTTTCTCCCTCCTGTGGATCACCATTTTCCACTACATTCAGGTCAGCACCCTTCAACCTTCTAGCTAAGGGGCATAAAACTGTGGCTTGCAAACCATATGTGACTCTTTCAGCATGTACATGAGACGCTGAAGGAAAACTGAAAAAAAATTAAAGGGTATTATTCAGAGTATGATGATTTCATTTGTAAAAGTATATTTATGGCTTTCAAATAATTTTCTAGATTGTTGTAAGGGACGGAATTGGCTCTTCTGTCTCAAAAGTTTGCTGACCCGTGGTACATTGCTTTAGGAAACTCCAAAGTCTCTTCCCTTAGGTATGAAAGTCTTTATCTTGCTTATTCTTTTGTTTTCTTTGCTTCCTTATGACCTATGGCCTCCTGTAATATTTGTCCTTTTGTGACTGGATCAGGATAATGTTCTCCAGGTCCATCCATGTCATGAAATGCTTCATGATTTTCTTTTTTAAAAACCCATACATCTTATTCCATTGTGTGTATATACCAAGGTTTCATTAGTCATTCTTCTACTGATGGGTACTTAGGTTGTTTCCAACATTTTGCTTTTGGGAACAAGTACTGTGATGAACACAGGAGTACATATGTCTGTTTGAGTTGATTCATTTCTTTTGGGTGGATGACTACATCGAATGGACGTTCTCCTCCCAGTTGGCTAGGGGTAATGCCATATCACTTTCCACAATGGGTGTACATATTCATAGTCCCACTGGCCATGGATAAGGATTCCCTTCTCTCTGCAGCTTCTCCATTATTTTAACTTTTGGGATTTTTTATTTTTTAACTCGGTTGTCGTTGTTGGTGTAAGGTGGAATCTCATCATTGCTTTGATGTGCATTTCTTGGATGGCTAGTGATCGTGAGCATTTTTCCACGTTTGTTGGCCATTTGGGTGCTGTCTTTGATGAAATGCCTGCTCATGCCCTTTGTTTACTTTTTAATTCGGTTATTTGTCTTTTTCTTTTTTTTTTTTT